ACTCAGTAACTCAGTACTTGGTCAGGGGGCTCTCCCGAAGAGAAAGCCCCCTAGGGACAGGGGAGGAAGGAACCAAAAGGCCACACATCCTCCCCCTAGACTTCAGGGTAGGCCGAGGACCCACACCCTCCATCCTGTGAGAAATAAAACACACACAAAAGTAAAAAGTGACAAACGCGGGAGAAAATAAATTAAATAAATAAGTGGTCATGCAGATTGTGCTCAGACCAGGCCATGAGGCAAAAATTGCCCAGAACTTAGCCAAAAGGCCCGGTCCTAAAAGGCGCTGTGCAGGAAAAGTGTTTGAACACAGTGACCATGTGCCTTTTCACACGCTGGGGTCCCACACCCAAGTGTTACTAAGAGCACCCCTGAGGCGACCTCTCAGGGGGCACTGGTTCACGGACTTTCTGCCTCCCCGGCCCCTGGCCAGACAAGGTAGATCGGCTCAAATCAGGAGGAACTGGGCCCCTCCGGTTTTCCAGGGGGAATTACTCCCGGGCCCCAGCAGCCTGTGGGCACCTCGGTTTCTGTTCCAGCCTGTACTAACCATCAGGACCCCCATCATACCAGCAGGGGTACTATACAACCAATCATCCCCGCAAAGCTAGAATGATGGGGAGCACCCCTGCTGGACACTGATAAGAACAGACACTACACTTGATCTTAGCCAAAAGGCCGAGAAGCGATTTCTTTCATACAGTTTGACCAGCTGATGGCAGTGGGGCTGGACAGGGCACCTGTGTTGTCCACCCACAACTAAATGCCAGAGCCCTATGCACTGGCACTAAACAACTAGGACCTAATAGTTCCAGGTCATAGACTCACTGGGGTTTATTTACTAAAGCTGGAGAGTCCAAAATCAGACTCCCTTCTGCATAGAAACCAATCAGCTTCCAGGTTTCATTGCCAAAGCTTCATTGAACAAGCTGAGGTTAGAAGCTGATTGGTTTCTATGCAGAAGGAAGTCTGATTTTGGACTCTCCAGCTTTAGTAAATATACCCCACTGTGTCATGAAGCAAAGTTGATCCTTGAGCTATAAAAAAACAAGTCAGCAATTTCAGCTCCACATTCCTTTACACAGTAAGGACTTTCAAAATGGCATTAATGACCATAAAATCGACAAACTCAATATGGTTTATTTACAAAATTATAAACTTTAGTGTTCACAGAACAGAAGGCTTCATTTACTAAAGACTGATTAATGGATGTGCCATTGTCTCTAGTAAAGAAACAATAGGATATCTCATGTATTCCACAAATACAAAACAATATTGATGGATCTGTATCAATTCATTTTGTGGCTGGTACCACTTCTTCGCGACCAGGGTTATAGTTGTAGATATCAAGTATATTATAAAATGGTTTGAGTCTCCATATGTTATAATTCCAAAACATTCAGGCTCAACACTCAAAATGCTGTCTTCCCCATAGTTGGAAGGGCAGAGGATGCACTGAGAGTACTAATAGTCATACTATATTCCGTTAAGAAAACATATTCCCCAAGCTCAGGGGATTCTTTTTCTTACTGAAATACTGTATATTAGTATTTACAGTTGGAATATAGAAGTATTTTCTGTTTTTAAAAATAGAAAGTGTATAACAACATTACTACAATATTTATAGTACTTCTTCTGTTGCAAACAACCTGATAGGCTAAAATGACCATGCCAATATTTCCCTAAAAACACTGCATGTTGAGGCCATTTATGGCGTTTTGTCACTGGAAAAAATGGCCATCATGTAATTAGATCCAGGGGAAAAGATAAGCTGCAGGGAGCCTACAGTAATACTGGTGACTAGTCTGAACCTCCGAAAATGCAATTTTCGTCTGAACAATGAATTTAAACAAACAGAATTTGCCCATGACTAAAGCACATAGGGTTAAATGATTTAAGGTTACTCATTTATGATTATTAGGAGCTTTTGACAAACCTTGTGCTGATTTTTTTGTTTCATTTAACCAAACCTAGGCTTTAATAAAAACTAGTGCCTTTGGGCAGCACAGTGGATAAGTGGTTAGCACTTCCACCTAGCAGCACCAGGCTTTCCGGTTTGAATCCCAACCATAGCAATACCTACCTTCAGTTTATATGTTCTTCCTATGCCTGTGTGAGTTTCCTCCCAAGGCATGCTGGTAGGTTCAGTAGCTCTAGTATGTGAGTTAAAGACCTTAGACTGTAAGTTCCTTGAGGGCAGGGACTGATTTGAATGTACAATGTATGTAAAGCACTTTGTGGATTGTTGGTGTCATATACAGTAATTACCGGAAATATATAAAACTTAAGGTGCATATATCAGTTTTGGCTTAAACTATATATGTATTTGGATTAGTATATTGATATTTGGTACTTCCCAATTATTTTATACAAAACAGTTGCTAAGGTACTACCGTTCACACTTTAAATAAGGCTGACTACCTCAAGCACACATTAACAGCCAGATGACTTTTTTTATTTTATAATGAGGGCTAGAACTTGAATGATTTATACAAGCAACTCTCCTATTTAAAGTGGTTGTAAAGCATCAAGGTTTTTTATTTTATTTTTTATGCATGAAGGCAAAAAACCTTCTTTGTGCAGCATCCCCCCCAGCCCCCCATAATACTCACCTAAGTCCCCTCTCGATCCAGCAATGTGCACTGGAGTCTCGGCTATCCCAGGACTCCCTCTCCTCATTGGCTGAGACAGAAGCGGGAGCCATTGGCTCCCACTGCTATCAATCACAAACAGTGAGCCAATGAGAAGAGAGAGGGGGCGGGGCCAAGCGGAGGCTCTGTGTGTGAATGAACACACAGAGCAGCAGGTGCCCCCATAGCAAGCTGCTTCCTGTGGGGGCACCCAACAGGAGGGATATGCCAGGAGTGCCAGCGGGGGGACCCAAGAAGAGGAGGATTCGGGTTGCCCTCTGCAAATCCACTGCACACAGCAGGTAAGTATAGACATGTTTTGTAATTTTTCTAAGAAAAAAAAATAAGCCTTTAGAATCACTTTAATATGTAAGATTCTGCTAATGGAAATAACATATTCATTAACTGCCCGAGGGCCCGGGGTCAGTGGGGGGCCCAATGAGATGCCCCTGGTAGCTTTTTCATAGACTTTTTTGAGTTTGGGCAAGGACACAGGGGCCCCATGATCCCCTATTGCCCGGGGGCCCCATGAGTTGTCAGTCCACCCCTGAACACATTATGAAGTTCTTATTAAGACATGATTTGAAATGGACAGCTTTTTGTAGATGAGACAAATAATAGTAAGTTTATACATACAAAGCACCTGGAAGTAGGCTAGGTTCACACCTATGCAGGTTGCATTTGAGCCGTTTCTGCATTGCGTTTTTGCACTTGTGTTTTTGTCACATTTTTTATGCGTTTTGTGTTTTTTTTTTTTATTTTTCTTGTTGCTATGCAGATTTAAAATGCAACTGCATAAAAAAAGCGGCAAAAGCACAAAAAACACTTTTCTGCAGCATTTCCATTGAAGTCTATAGAACCAAAAAGGCAACTTTTTGCTTTCAAAAAGGCCCCTGACCCTTTCCAAAAAAACGCATCGGGTGAAAACGTGGAGGTTTGAACATGTCCAATAGGAAATCATGTTAAATGGACTGTACTGCAATTTCTGCAAAACGCTGCGGAAAACGCTTAGGCATGAACCTAGGGGAAAGGCAGGAGAACATTTCTGGCAATGACACCATGGGCTTTATAATTATTAGAAGTTATTATTAAGCACCTATTGACCTTGCTAGTTTAAACAAACTGTGTCATAAAGAAATTTGTCATTCAGCATAATATTCCAGCTGTAAGGACAACAGTTCAACATAGGAGCTAGGTATATATGACTTGTTTATACATAAAAAGTCAAGAAAAAACACAGGTTTATTAAATAACAGCTAAATAGGACAAACCTTTGCAACAGCAGTGTTAACATTTAAAAATCAACATAGAGGGGTAAAGGTCACAGAAGATCAAGTAAGACGCTAATAGTTGTGCTTTTTCCATTTTCTTATCGATCAATATTATGTTTTTTCGAGCGAAAATGCAACAACAGAGTTATTGCTGACCTTTTCCTCACCTTTCTATTGTGAATAAAATCACAGCAATATAACAAACGACTTTATAAGCTGTACAGTTTTTCTGATTGTTTGAGAAAGGGCAATTCTTTGAGTTTAAATTTTGTGCACTTGGCATTTGGATTCCTCACTGATCGCTGGAATGTTCAGACCGTAAAAATAGGAAGAAACTTTTATTTCATGTTTTCCCAAACACCTATGACAGAGGGTTAGGATTAGTATTTATGTGGCTGGCCCCAAGAGCAGTAAATACACTAGAAAATCAGAAACACGGAGAAACACAGCAGGGAATTATGATAAAACTCAGTGCAAAGGAAAACAACCTTCGGAAAAAAAGGGAAGCTTGTGTTAACCTATATTCCCTGTGTTCTGGGAACACTGCAATGTCATTAAAGTTGTTAAAGAGGAACTGAAGCAAAAAAATAAATATGTATATGTAAATATGTATTCCAGATTGCCAATCCTTAACCAATTGCCCTCCAGAGGATTTACCCCCCTTCCTGATCAGGCCATTTTTTGCGGTATGTGTCGCTGCGTTAATGTAACTGACAATTGCGCGGTCATGCAACGCTGTACATAAATGAAATTTATGTCCTTTATTTTCCCGCAAATAGAGCTTTCTTTCGGTGCTATTTGACCACCTCTTAATTTTTTTTTTTTGCACTATAAACAAAAAAAGACCTACAATTTTGAAAAAAAAAAAACAATATTTGTGCTATAAAACATGTCCAGTAAAAAAATCTAATTTCTTCATAAATTTAAGCCAAAATGTATTGTGCTACATGTCTTTGCTAAACAAAAATCCCAATACATGTAAATGAATTGGTTTATGTGAAAGTTATAGCATCTACAAATGGCGGTATACATACTGGAATTTTTTTTTATACTAGTAATGGCAGCGATCTGCGGTTTATAAAGCGGGACTGTGGGACTGCAGGACTGTGGTGGGCATTTTGATACTGGGTCGGAACTGACTAACTGCCACTGACATCCCAATGACACTAATACAGTGATCAGTGTTAATAAAAAGCACTGACACTGTACTAATAACAATAGGCAGGAAGAGGTTAACATCTGGGGTGATCAAAGGGTTAACTGTGTGCTGTTTTACATGAAGTGCTGTGTGTGTCTTACTACGGAGACATGCTGCTGTGTATTTCTCTGCTGTGCAGAGAAATACACAGCAGCATGTCCTTGCTGGCAAGAGAGAGACCTGTCAGTTCTACACGGTGATCGTTGGGTGCCGGCGGGGAATTTCCAGCCAGGACTCGGTGATTGACATCCCTTTGTTTTCATTTATTAGGCTTTTTTACCTTTATTTTTAACTACTGATCAGGCCAGCATCACATTTTCTGCCATATGCTTGCCATAGATGGATCAAAAATGGGCTGGTTCGGCAAGGACCAGCTGATTTTGAATCCATTTATTGCCATTCTTGCTATTTGTCTCTATTCCTCTATCCACCTAAATTGTGTGGATTGGAAAATCCTTTAAAAAAAAAAATCCATCTATGGCCAGCCTTAGGGTGGCTTCTCTATCTATGGAGGAGTAAAGGAGACTATCTTGGACAGTAGCACTGACTGGATAGGGTGATGTTAGATGGGCTAGCAGGTTTAGATGGTCTTTACATAAATGACAAACAAATTAAAGCTGAACTTCAGCTAACACTTTTTAAGCAGTTAGGCCACATTATGGATGGGGGGGGGGGGGATTATTGGTTGAGCTGTGTTTTTTGTCACCCCCCCCCAACAACCCCAAGCTGCAATAGGCACTGTATGAGGGTGTTTACATGCCACAGTTGTGATGCTTTGCTTCATGCCCACTACTTGACATATAATAACACATTCAGGTGAACAGGGAAGCTTTTCTCAATCAGAGGCAGCAGCCGATTATCAGTGATTATCAGTGATTCTGACAGCTACCTTGTTGTGTGGAAGGGGCATTCTGGCTCAATGAAAAAACCACTAAAGCTAGCCATACACGTATAGAATTTAATTCAAGAATTTTAGTTAGTGGGGTCAAATCGATGTTTGTTTTCGACTGCAGTAACGAGAAAATTCGAAGGGGCGGGAAGGAAAACTTTTCTCAATCAAAAGAATTTTCGGCCAGTATATGTGGCAGTGTGTTGAAAAAGTGAATAAAGCTCAAAATCCTTCTAATAGCTTTTATTTCCATCCACACAAATGCATTGGGAACACGACACATTCTATTCCGAATCAAAACATGAAGAAAAATATATCAAATTTGTGTTGTTCCCTTTAAAAGAATTGAAGAAAAGTGAATATTAGACTGTTCAAAGAAATCGGAGTGTTTGTATTCTTCTTTACAAACTCAAACATTCACTATATAAACTGAAAAATGTTTGAAGATTTTGCTTTCCTTTGAATCAATTAATATTTGGTTGTAGTCGCACTGTTTCTGAGAACTGCTGTACATCTGTGTTGCATGGAGTCACCCAACTTCTGGCCCCTGTGATCAGGTATTCCAGCCCAGGATGATTGGACTACATTCCACAGTTCTTCTCTATTTCTTGGTTTTGCCTCAGAAACTGCATTTTTGATGTCACCCCACAAGTTTTCTATTGGATTAAGATCCGGGGATTGGGCTGGCCACTCCATAACGTCAATCTTGTTGGTCTGGAACCAAGATGGTGCACGTTTACTGGTGTGTTTGGGGTCGTTGTCTTGTTGGAACACCCATTTCAAGGGCATTTCCTCTTCAGCATAAGGCAGCATGACCTCTTCAAGTATTGCTCCCTGATATGCGATAAATAGGCCCAACACCGTAGTATGGGAAACATCCCATACCCCTTTCAATTAGTGATTCAATTACACAGAATCAGCAGCATGCATGTCATGACTGTTGGATTTCTATTACTCTACTACACCTGCTAGTAAATTATTTGCCATGTAGAAATATAATTTCTACCAGAAACAGTGATTGGTCAGGTTAGTGATGTCTGACTGCTATTATTTTGAACACAACTGTATATATATATATATATACACAGTATACATACACATTTCTGACCACACGAGTGCAAGAGCTTGCTGCTTTACACTCTCTTGTATTATCACAGAATCGCAGAATGCCAGACAGACATGTGGCTTTCGATCCCTTAGTCAACAAGAGTCACTAGGTTTATAAGGCATGTGTAGTTATCCATTTTCCATCAGCAAGTCTGGTGCCATATTGTGTTTTAGCAGAGTTGAAGGAAAACTGCCAAGTGTGCATTTCTGCTCACGCAGTGTGCTGGAGGATTTATCCACCTGAAACTGCCTGTATATTTCTATCATCATAGGTGTATCTTCCAACAGGCTTGTGACATGGAAACAGTGCAGACATAAACAATGACACATATACTTCTCTGCTGACCTCCCCTGCCATAATGTGTTTCTCCAGAGATTGTATAAATGCATGTCTCCACTTACTGCTACCTTACCAGCCAGCTTTTCTACTGACCATCATGGCATCTGCTCACTTCAGCAATGACAACCAATGCATTAACAAGCTAGTTCATTGACCGTCACGTTTCTGGTACACCTCTCTAGAGATTGTTAATGTACAGATGCAGATCTTCATTTACCATCACTCTACTAGCACACTTAACTGTCACTCCATCTACACACCTCTACAATGACAGACACCAAACTGATTTATTCACTGACCTCCATTGTCACAGATGCACTTCTTCCCTTCCCATAACTCTACCAATGTATTTCTCCACTGAACAACACTGGACCACTGTGGTGTATTTACTTACATTCCCATGTGGAAATTATTACATTAGGAAAACTACAGATAAAGTGAAATATTGTTTTGCTAGACACCGATACTCTATTAGAGACATTCTTGTCCAATTATCTGTTACCCCACATTTTGTGGAACAATAAAGTGGAATTCCATGCTATTGCCAACTATGCTCAAACCTACTCCAACCCCCTTCTAAATCCTATTCTAACCACCCTGTAGGAAGAAGATGCTTATCCTTACCTATTCTCAAGGTGCTCTGGTCTGGTCACATGACCGGCTCCCAGTGGCAGTTTTAGGGAAGAGGAGGGACAGCCAACAACGGATTCCCCATAGCAAGCCTATGGTGACATCACTGCACAGGCATTGAAGCCATCTCTTCTCTCCCATGAAGCCGCCACTGGGGAATTCACATGACCAGACTGGAGCGCCCTTAGGATTGGTAAGTATACACATCTTCCTTTCAGTGGGTAGTTAAAAATGATTGAATGATTGAGAAGGGGTGGGAGCAGGTTTAAGCTTAGTTAGTAACAGCCTGGAATTTCACTTCAACATTCAACTGCACATCTGAAATGATAGGAGATGTACCGAAAAATAGGAGCGGGGACAACAGGAGTTGACACTAAAGACGTGTGAAGTTCTTTGGATTGAACGTCTGAACACATTATAGCCCTGTGGTTTAAATTCTGATTTTGATTTATACTTAATATACAGTATAAGGGAAAGATTATTGGTATTAGTTTATTTGATGTATTTATATCTTTTTTGTTTCAGTTTGATCCTTTTTTTAAGTTGCTTTGGAATATATAATATTTGATTGAACTAAATAAAAGTTTACTTAGAACAGGATATACTCTTCCTCCACTGGGTTGAGATGTCCAGAGAAGATGTCTCCAAAGATTCATGTGTGTTTAATAATCATATTATTGTTAATTGATAATATATTTGTGGTTCCCATGTAGATAATATATTAAGTAAAATGAAACTTACTCCATTCAGTGCTCTATGCCTGAGCAAAGGTAATATATCTCAAAGTTTGCATTGATGATTTTGCATTGTTATGTGGAACACACACACCAATATTTTATATATATATTGGTATAAAAGTTCAGCGCTAAAATTAAATAAATAATAATATTAATGTGAGGTAATCAAGTGCAACCAGGGGCGGACTGACCATGTGGAAACTCAGGCACTGCCCGAGGGCCCAGGGGCAGTAGGGGGCCCCATGAGATGCCCCTGGTACCTTTTTCATAGGATTTTTGAGTTTGTGCAAGGACACAGGGGTCACATGATCCCCTATTGCCCAGGGGCCCCATGAGTTGTCAGTCTGACCCTGAGTGCAACGCTGAAGGTAAATAATAAACGGAACAATCAAGTGCAACATATAAAGTGAAAACATATAAGTATCAAAAAACCATTCAATTAATGTGAAACAGTCAAGTGCAACATGTAAAGTGGAAATGAATAAAGTCCATATATCTCAGTATGATGTAAACTAAAAAATGTCTGTGGAACTATAGGCAAAGCAATCACGGTGAAACACTGTGAAGTGATCCAGTAAGGAAATCCACCACCTCTGTCAGATGTACACTCACCAGACAACTACTGGTAAACAGCATGTAAGCACATCTCATCTGGACATAGGAAACAGCAAAGAAGCCTCTGTATGGAATGCTCCGCCAAGGGCAAACTGCAGGTGGACCCTCTCCTATGAAGAATAGCTCACCACTACAATCCCACACTGAGCAAACCACATTGGGACACTTCTGGGAGCACGGGCCTATGGCACCGCCCACCTGAGGGGAGTGACAGCACCATTCACTAATCAGGAAGCAGCGCCATACCATGGCATATATATATATAATTGCAGCTTAACCGTTTCCACGCCGCCCTATAGCAGAAATATAACAGATACGCAAAATCATGTATATATATGTGATTTTGCAGTTCTGCGTATTTGCGGCCTCAGCTGTCAATCACTGGGTCCCGGCCAGTGATTCCTCGCCAGCACCCAGTGATCGCCAAGTATTACTGATGGGGGAGAGACCTGTGTATAAACCACCACATCTCTCCTCCGTCAGCTCCTGCACCCTACTTTGTATGGCTCTGCACAGCAGAACCATACAAAGCAGTGCACTTACAATGGAAAGCACACACACAGCATACAGTGAACCAGCACACAGTTAGCCCTTTGATTGCCATTAGTACAGTGTCAGTACTTTTAGTTAGTACTGATCGCTGTATTGGTGTCACTGGGAATGTCAGTGACACCAAGTTAGTTTCCCCCAGTGTCAGAATGCCCGCCGCAGTCCATAAGTTGCTGATTGCCGCCATTAATAGTAAAAAGAAAAAAAATTCCAGTATTTCTACCACCATTTGTAGACGCTATAACATTCACGCAAACTAATTCATTTACACGTATTGGGATTTTTTTTTAGCAAAGACATGTAGCAGAATACATTTTGGCCAAAATTTATGAAGAAATTAGATTTTTAAAAAAATTTTTTACTGGATATGTTTTA